GGGTTTTTTACACTATTTTTGAGGTTATACAAAACCAATTCTATATTTACTGTTAAGTCTCCTAACCCATAGCACAACCTCAGCCCGGTGTTCTATATCACAACTGATGATATAGAAGATACTCAAAACTCTAGAGTAATATAATTCTTTCATAGTCACATTCACTGATGATAACAGGATAAAACCAATGAGACTGTAGAATAATTTTGAGATAAAATTAATCAAAATTCTGGGTTTCATTAAAAAAGTCTCTTATGCAATGTGTTTGTGGGGAGGGGAGATGACAAACCATGAGAATTTATAAATAATTATATTCCTTGTTCTGAATCATACAAGAGGCCTTCAGAGATGAATGGAAAGATATTCCTTCAGTAACATATAATGTTGTCAGAAAAAGATGTCAGTTTTAGCTAGTTATTGTTATACACATACATGCATTACTATACAAACTTGTTCACAAGTTCATCCAAGTATAACCTCACAAACTGTTGCATGAGGAACTAAATCACATTACTACATGATTCATTTAATCTTTCATAAATTAAACTTAATTTATGTATTAATAAATGGCAACTAAGAACTTCATGGTGACCTCAGCAGCTCTCCCCACATACTGGAGCAAGTCTAATGGCTGGAAACTGCACTATCAAAACTGCCATCCCTTTCAGCCACCATACTGATGCAAACCTATACACACATGCTCAACAGAACATGGTTTATGAGGATCTTTCACTTAAATGAGAACAAATCAAGGATTCAGATAACCATCCAACACTAAATTATTCCTATTACAGTCATCACTTCAGTCAAACCTGACAATGAAGCATTTAACCAGTTATAGAGACAGGAATATATTCTACACCTGTTTTTGTGCGAGTCTCTCTCTCCAAACACAACATTAAAGTACAGAGACATATTCTTTTCCAAAAAACACTCCATGTCTTCTGAAGAGGAAAAATAACTTTTTCTGTGAAACATGTTTTCTTTACAAGCCTTTGCACTCAAAGTATTTTGTTGCTGTGCATTTCTTCCAAAATATTCTGAAACAGATAGATAAAATTTCCACTGTAATTACCTGAACCAGTATGTGAGACCTGAGATTAAAAATGGGTGTAGTTGGATGAGTATCAAGCAAAATGCAGAAAAATTAAAATCTGTAAATTCAGTCTTTTCCATAGGGTGAAGGTCTCTACAAACTATACATAGATCAATTTATTGTGGAAAGTCCTCTTGTCTACTTTAGCTGTCTGTAGAATTTAAATAAGGCAAACTTTTTTCCTGGAAAAAAGCAGAAACACTTATTGTATCCAGTATTCAACATTTTTCAAGAAAGAATGCACGGGACCATACTTAATTAATTCTGTGCTACAAAGGCAAAGAAAAGAAGTGCCAGGCAAGCTCACTAATTATAAAATTCAAGATTAATTTTAAAAGGAAGTATATTGAAAGCTTTTCTGCAAGAGTAAGTTGTTTCCCAAGGGAACAAGGACAGCAATAGAAAAAAAATGCAGTATCTTAGAATTAGTAGCTTAAATTGCAAGAAGTAGTATCTACCAGAGGGGAAAAAAGGTATGTATTTGGCTAAGTTTTTGTACTAATTCATGCTTAAATAGATGTGAATAAGGAGAAAAAGAAGAACATTCAGCTAAACATTTTTGTTTTTCAGAGAAAGGATGACTGGCAGTTGTAGTCATAGGATGGGAATAGGATTCCTACTTGGTGTTGCTTCTTTCACCCTCTCTGTGTCTGTTACTTAGCCATATTCAATGATCAAATTAATAGCTAAATAAAGTCTTCTTAATGCTGACAGATGGGGATGCTTAAGACAGTAGAGGAAATCTTGTAATTTCTTGCAGTATCTCCCTAAACGGTTTCTGGGCCAATAAGTTTAGATATTTTACCATTGTGTCTTACATGGGTAAAACTGATCTTTGCACTTTACTCTGAGACTTGAATGAAAAATTAGTGTAGTACTGCCTGGATGCCTACATCTGATACTGGCTGTTGTCTTAGAAGGTAGGTCTGCCCCAGCCCCTCCATTTTCAAAATAGCATTGTTAGTAAGGACTCACTTTTACATATTGAGTGCATGTAGAATAGAAATATCTGTATTTACTGAAATAAAAGTGCTTTATATATAACGATCAACTGTATTTGCATACTGAAAATCTTCCTATAGCTACAGCAGCTGTTTAAAACTGCACACAGAGGAATGGGGAAAAATATTCTTCCTTGACTAGGACACAATTCAGAAAGTTGCATTGATAAAGGGCATTATCCCTTCCAAGATCAATAGTTTTCACTTGCCACTCTCCCATTTATGTGATTGCAGAAAACCCAAAAATTAGGGCTTTCCCCTATGTCTCCCTACGTAATCCATTCCTTTTCCCAATCATCGCCCTTCATGAAGCAGGAGTCATATGCCTGTAGCCGTTCATCTTTGAGATGGCAACATTCAGTTTTGCCTGTACTGTTGAGAAGACATGAGCCAGATCCAAAAAGCAGTAAGACCTTGACAGATCTAGTTTGGGTTCACTTGTAAAGCACTGAGAGAATGAGACAGAAACAGCATCTTCAACAACTGTCCTCAGGACTTGGCAGAACAAGTGCAGGACTCCTCTAATTACATGTTCAGAAGAGTGTTCACTGACGATCCCTCGTCCAATCAACCCTGCACGGTGCCCTGCCAGGAAGACTCACATTTAACCCTCTCTGTCTAGAAGTGAAAGCAGCTCCCGACTGAAACAGCAACTGTGCATTTTGTTACACACAGCTTTCACAATTTCAGGTTTTTGCAAGGAAGAAAGATTGCAGGTAGGAAGCAGGGAGACAGGAGTTTAGGTGAGAAAGCATGAGGTAAGTAACAGTCTTTTTAGATCAATGCAGCTTTACAGAGAGGCTCTGGTTTTATAAAGAGGGACAAATAACTGTTCAGTTTCTAGTGCATGTCTGTAGCTTCAGTCCAAATTTGCAGCCAAAGACTATAATTGCTTTCTCTAGTTCTTCAAACAGATAAAATTCCAGACTACCTCAGAATACAGGAAATGTAGCAGTTATTTCAACATTTTCCAGGGGAAAAAAAAGCTGGAGTTCTCCCATTTTATTTCTTTGTTTTTACACCATTTCATCAGGCAAAGTCTCAGCTGGAGTTATCCTAGATTAGGTGGGACATACAATCATGATTGAGGTAAAATTATATTTACAGGAAGACAGTCAAAATAAAAACCATACAGCTTATAAAAACCCCTTAGTTTATAGCAGTGTCATTGCTAGAAATTGCCACTGACTTTTAAAGAGGATTTTTTAACTATTTCAAAAACAGGACCTAGACTTCTAATTGACTCAAATACATTAAGAAATTGTACAAAGGGTTAAGGTAAGTATCCAAATTTTTTTGGTAATTGACATGCTTCTCAGAACCATTTTAAGACATACACCTCTTAGGTTTTGACTGAATATTTTATGTACAGCATTGTTGTGAGCCCATTAATCATAATTTTTGCTCTATTGCTCCCACCTGGAAAGAACAAGCCTGTAATTGAAAAGGCAAATTTAGCATTTATATTGGGAATAACACAGTTTCATTGCCATTCTCCCCAAAAAGGATTTAAACATTATAGTGAACCATATCTCATTGATAAGCGAATGGAAGGGAAGTAAAGCTTTCTCATTACCAGGCCCCCGTGAGCTAAGTCATTTGTTTGTTGAGCAGAGTCTTCTATTGTATTGTAACAATTACTTTTTCTCCCAGATATGATAACTCTTTGAAGCGGTACCTGGGAGACGCAAGTGATCTACATTAGCAGGGGAGTAACACAGTGTTGGCTGATAAACTAATCTCATTTGCTAAACACCTGATATTTCATTGCTCTGGGGTTTCCTTTTTTTTTTTTTTTCCCCTATTGGTGGAAGCCATGGACTCCGATTCAAATAATTTAACATAGTAGAATAAATTATTTAAATCCAAGACAAAGTTTGAGATTATAAATTTGTTTTAAAAACTTCTGTTGAAAATAAAATGCTGGGCTATAGCATATTTTTATCTAGCTAGAGATTAGAACAGAGTTTGAATAGAGGCTTGTTATGCTGGCAGGTATGTATGTTATTCTAGGATCCCATTTCAAGCTAAAAACTTTCAGTAAACTCCTGAATCACACTGTGATTAGGACAGTATCGGTAAGCACTACAGTAATACAGTGAAACAGTCTTCATTCATCATAAATTACAGGTATCATTTAAAGATAAAACACATGAAATACAAAATGGATGGATTATTCTGAGAAATTACTAATATCATAAAGTCAACAAAATGACAGACTGACAAAGTAGTTTTGCTACCTTTGAGTACTCTATGTGCAGACTAAATGTGTATGTACATCTAAACTAGCAAAACAATCCGATCTGTACCTTTAGTTACAGGCTTAGGGAAGTATCTTCTGAAGCAGCATGGACTTTAAAACAGGTTGGTGGCTAGGATTATGCTGGAGTGTTGTCATTTTTTTGACCAATCTGCACTTGTCATTGGTAAAACCCCTTATTGTTATGTAAAGTAACAGTCCCTATATACAGTTGTACCAGGATACCCAAGTATCTTATGAATTCAGTCACGAGTAATACACATTGCAGGTGAATGAAGAAAAAAAAAATAAAATTGTAAATGTAACTTTAAAGCTTCTATGTGTTCACATTCAAACAAAACCCCCATACAGATTCCAGTACGAATCTGTTTTGCTGAGCCATCCTCCAGTTTTATTCATTGTACAGGTAAAAGTTGGCCCCCTGACTCCAGACATTGATCAATATGCCAATATACTTGATGAAAAAGTCTTGTGCCCTGAATATTAAATAAAATGATCCTGACAAAAGCGAACAGAAGATTAGACTGCTATACAACTCCATGGTTCTAAAGAACTGAAAAGCTTTTTTTTTTTTTTCCCCACTTTTCTTTTCCCTGGAGAAAATGATTAAAAAAGAAAAAAATGCTATGCACACAATACTCACCTTTGATACCTTTATCTCCTCACAGAAGCAAGAAGCGGACAAAATCTCTCACTAGTAGCGGTTATCTGGCCTGCAGAACAGCACTGTATTTCAAAGCATGGAGGCAGAAGCCACTCTGGTAAGTAACCAGACAGATCTGGCTGCCTCCATATCCATTGCTTCAGGAAACCAAGCTTTTATAGCTACTCATGGCCACTCAATGACCTCTCTGCATGCATCTGGCAGGTACCCCAATTCATCTGCATGAGAATTTTTTTTGTTGCGGTCTACTTCCTGCCCGGCTTTGCTAGGCACTGAAGATACAAAGGACAAATAGTGAAAAGCTCTTCACATACAGTATTAAAGCTGTGCCATTTGTTGGGCATCACTATGACTCATCTCCTCCGTCAGCTGCCAGCCAGAGTTCTATACATCTGGGTAAGGCAGCTGCACACTGGACAGCAGAGATGAGTTTAAGAGCTTCCTACGAGTCTGCTTCCTTTCTGAATGCTTTGTCCTGGTACGTCCTGAAAACAGGCACTCACATACCCCAAGGAGAAGCCAATAAATCCAATAAATACATAAATACATGGCACCTTTCCTCATTTTAGCTTCGGAGGGCACTGCATGAAGCCATGCTTCAGATGTCCTGGATGATTTTATGACCCTGCTGAGGAGGGCTTGCCACTCCACTCAGAGCCACCTTTATGCATTTCACAGTGCAGAGGCTCAGGAACAACCCTGCCAATTAAAGTATCTACAGCCTAATCCCTCTTCCCCTGGGACTAGCTCTTTTCAGTCTTCTCACTTTTTTCTATTCCAGGAAAGGCAAACATTTTGACTTTCCCATTTCACTCCTAATCCTCTAAAAAAAAAAAAAAAATAATCTCCATTCATTTCACACTTTCTCCTCTGATCACAACCCGAAGAGAAAAGAACATCCCTCCATCCCACACAACAAACGGTCTGAGCATCACACAGCATTTGTAACTGCGTACAAAGGGGACTATAGCAAGCAGGAAAGAAGAGATTAATAGTTCCATGAAAGAAAACACGTGTTCATCCTGATGCTGTCTTGCATCACCTTGACTGCATGCTTCAGACTCCACCTGCCCTAAGTTAGGTACCAACATAGTATAACAAACAAAAAGAGGCAGCCCGACAGCTGCAGCAGCTCAAAATGTGATCTGAGTCTGGCTTGAGAGTACCACTGGTTGCCAGAACCCTCTAGCAAAGTTTCGGGTGATGATGGTTGTTCTCTCTGCCCACTACTGAGTCTGGTTTTCCAAATGACGTCACTGACATTCACACTCCTGACTAGGAACAGTGAATTACTAGTAGTTATCTGACCAACACCTCTACATTAGGTACAGTCATCATACTCAGTGTGCCACTCCCATCAAACTATGTACACGAGATGCTGACACAACCCTTGGAAGTTGGGATTATTTGGAATGAACCCTTATGTTGTTGAAGATATTCTTCAGTGGGTTTCTCTCCAGGTTTCCTGGGCTAAACTAGTATTTCTTAATCACTTATAAGTAACTGTGAATTACCAGGAGACACAAGGTGTGACAGCACCTCTGCAACTATGCACAGATCTTCAGTATGCAGGTAAATGGATGAAAGATTAACTTGTCCTTCCCTAAGAACCAGTGAAAATTCTCTGCAAACACACAGAGACATATTAGCAATCTGGTTTTGGATGATGACTGCAATTAAATTTTTTTTCCACTTGCTCCAGCTGAGAATCACCATCTTCAAGGAAAACTCAGACAGAAGCACCTTACAACCCAACAGTTGTCTTTTAAGCGCAGAAGCAGAATCCTACTTGAGAAGTTTGCATCATGAGAACTGTTACAATATTAAATCACTCACAGGCAGGTAAAAGCCACCACATCTACAGATGTGGACAAAAGTACTGATGTTCATATGATTTCCAAAGTACTCCTCAACAGCTTGAAAGACACACACGACTGACAGGATGACTGCAAAAGTATATCCCTACCCTGCCCTGCCCCCCCCCCCCCCCCCCAGCATATAGTCTTTGGAAAAACTGTCCAGCTCCTGTTTCTCATCTGCCTTTAGTTCATCTTAGTAAACTGTTTAAAAGTAAATCTATGAACTAAATTTATTTTATATCTTAACGAGATTTAAATATGATTTGATGAAACAAAGCTTTGTTGTCCATCTAAGGTTTGCAATGTAATTCCACCTTCTTACACAGATCTCAAAATTATGAACCTGCAAACCAAAATAACATCATAAAGAGCAGCATTCATTAATGATTCAAACTCAAGGTGGTAGGTAGGTATGCTGAAAAGCACTTACAAATCAAACCAACAGTGTTGTGAAGAAATCTTAAGGTTCCCTCCCAAACATAGCACTAATGAGAGAGTAGCCATACACATTTTTGTAAGACACTGCATGTTCCAAGTGTCCTGCCCTGTGTGGGATCAGATTTTTGTCCTCTTGCATCTCACCCTGATGGAGATACTTTATAGAGAATGGTCACTTCATGTCTATAAAAACAGTACAAGTACTATGCTACTTTCATTTCAAGGAATGCATTTCACTGATGCTATAAGGCAATAAACTGTTTTTCATTCTTGAAGAGATCCAAAAATATCTATTTTCAGAAATATTTGCTAATAAAAAAAAATAGGATTATGACAATCCTGCGCTGTCCTAGCCACAAAAGTTTCTTTGCCTGTGTAAGGTGCTGACTTGCAAAAGCTACTAAGAGGAATAAATGTCCTTCTAGATTACTAGGTCAGTTCTGACACTTAACGATAATCCAGACAGATCCTCAGGGGGATTGAGGGAGGAAGTCAACAAGTTGATCCTCCTGTGGAAGGGAAATAACAGCAACTCTTTCCAATAGCAAAAAAAATCTCCTTCTTGGTAGCTCCTCAAAGAGGATAAACCTCGGCTAATCTAAGATCTTAGTATTAAAAGCATACCAAGAGAAAAGAGCTACACTGAAACTGTCCTCTGGTAGAGTGCATCGGTCCAGAAAGCCTAGGCCTGCAAACATATTTAATTACAAGATGAATAAGGCTAATGTTGGTACTAGAGGCTACCTGTAAATAATTGTTGTAATTTGTATTCATGGGGAATTCAGCATTCCAAGTAGCCATAAAACAAAGCTCTAAAATTCTTACAGCAATTAAACCCATGCAAACAGCCTACATAAAATGCTGCAAAATAAACAAAAGTTTTTCTTTCAGCAATGTGCAGCCTGAATTTGAATACAGTTAAGTCATCTCCTTTAAATAAGTACTGAAGCAGTGTCAGTGTTACTGGTCCTTTCTGAGGAACTCCATTAGAAATCACATTAGTGAATGAAGGGATAGAAGTACTGGCCTGCATCGCCCAGCTCAATGTGAGTTGATACCACACCACAGAAGATGATGCCTTGAATTCTGTCACCTCAAAGTCTGCAAGTGGTCTAGGTTATACTTAGCTTCTGATTACTGACTCTATTCTTATTTGCTTTACTTTCTTCAGTAATCCTGTTCCTCAACAGGGCAAGCGGAAAATAGTTACTGCATGTCCATGATGTTCCAAGCAGTCCTTTATAGACCTCTAAAAATATAAGTGGTGTTTCATTCCACTGAATTCGTATATATGATACAAAACATTGATTCAGGAAACTAATTTTCACAAATCGGTTTCTCTTTGCTCTTTTAGCATTTATCAATACTTAATAATGAAAACATGGAGTTTCAAATTTATTTCTATTTCAGATTCATGGTACAATTTTAGTCCTTATTGTAGAAGACTAAGAATGAATTTAAAGTAAATATTCCAGCACATACTCTTCATTTATATGACCGTATTCACTAATGCTGTGGATACCAAACCACGTTCTCTTGCAGATTTTTTTATACAGTACCCTGCAGAGCTGACCCACCTGCAGAGAAGTTACCAGATCTTTTCTACTTGCTTTACACTGCACCTCTTCAGTACTTCTGAGAGCAGTTAGCTACTAGCTTTTCTTTCACTCCAATTTCCTTGAATCCAAGTGATATATCAAATCTGCCAGAAATGTAAACCATGCAATGCTGTTGCTTTGCCTAATAACAACATTCCTAATTATTGCATGTTGTCATTCCAAGTACCATTTTAGATGATCAACTTTTTGGACTAATTTTATGATTAAAAAGTCTAATTGAAATCTTCTTCATAAGAACAATTTTCTTCTGTTTGTTAGATGACTAGTGATACATTTTGCACCTGACATAGGTTTGTCTAAATTTTATACTGTAATTTTAGTAACTTAGTCAAAAAGAAGCATTCAGACATCTTTAAGGAGTAACCCACACACTGAAAAAAAAAAAAAAAAAACAAAATTAAAAAAAAAAAATCACTATTTACTCGTCAGCATTGGGAAAAGTAATATGAATTCTCTCTCTCTCTCTCTCTCTCACACACACACATACACACACTCCTGTGCTTGTAATACTAGCTTTTTTTTTTCCTCTCCTTATTACTTGATAAGCTGACAGCAGTCAGCTGTTGTTTGAAAGCTTTTCTTTCCCTGAGACCTTGACTTTCTTGTCTTGTTACTTTAAAAGTGAAGAATTGGTTTCCAGCTGATCTAAGGACTAGGTTAGGTAGAATCAGTATAACTGGAGACTTCTCAACTCTTTGAATAGTTCCTTCTGACAGAAGTTGAATTTCCATCCATGTAGGTGCAATAGCTTCAACCAGCCAAGTACCTGTGATATTAATTTCAGCAGAATTTGGCACTGCAGAACACAAATGCATTCATTGTTCAGAGGTAAATGACTACTGTGCCCATAAACTACACCACCTTCACTGGCACAAGCACGAGTCCCTCCTGCAGTCTTCCATGTTTCCCTGTTCCATGTCAGAAAGGCAAACACAGTAATGTCATTCCATCACAGAAGCATGCAGCACGTGCAGCTGGCTCACAGAAGTGCAAGTTTAAGGTAATTCCTAACCATATTCAGGTATTCCAGTCACATTATCTGATCATGTTATTTCTAATGAGGCTAAAGACCCTTTGGAGAAGAGGACGGCACAGAAGTTGAGGACAAAAGCTCAGGGGCCTGGAAGAGGGCAGGACAATGGGGTCAGAACTGCTGGGCAAATGAAGGACAACCTGAGACTTGACAACAAGCCACCCTCTCCCATTTAAACTTCAATTTCCCTCCTGGGGTAGCCAGTTGACACTTCTCAGAGTGGAATCTATCTGCTTCTCGTATTAGACAGTGTGGATGAACTTACCAAACAGTGAAAGTATGACTGTCC